GGGAGGGGGGGCAGAGGAAAAAAACGGGGAGACCACACTGTCACAAAATGGGGATATAATTGGTGGAAACCAGGTCCTCGGTGGTGGCCACAGAGACCTTCAGGACAAGGATGTCACCTTCCTTCTGGCAGCAAGCTCCAGATGATCGTAAGTTTTGAGGTTGACCCTGAAGAGAGGTAAACCAGCAATGTAGGTCATGCTAAGAAATCAGTTTCCAGAGACCAAGAGAACAAGTACCACATTTTCTTCCTAGAGCATACCTTGTCAGACCTGGCTCCAGACTGTTTCTTTTTCTGATCCCAGACTTAGGGAGAGTGAGAATCTCAAGATATGTGGTGATATGAAAGTGGTTGTTAGATAAAGTGAGAAAAGATTGCTCCTGGGACATCACTGGTGACCACAGGGACAGACCTCCTGGTTACCATGGGGACCTTGCTGTTGGCCATTGGGATGTCAGTGGTAGCCACAGGGTCATCACTGGTGGCCACCAAGACCTCACTTGTGGCTATTGGAACCCACGGGTGGCCACAGGGACCTCACTGGTGGCCATGGGGATCCACAAGTGGCCACAGAGACTCACTGGTAGCCACAGGGATGTCACTTGTGGCCAAGGAGACTTTGCTGATGGACACAGGAAATTCGCTGGTGGAAACGTGGACCTTGTTAGTGGCCACAGTGACATCATAAATGGACTCAGGCACCTTGCTGGTCACCACAGGGTCACATGGCCACAGGGAACTGGCTGTTGGACTATGGGACCCACTAGTGCCCGCAGGGATCTCAATGGCTGCCACAGGGACCCTAAGGGGGTGACGGGGACCTCAGCTGTTGCCAAGGGTTCCTCACTTGTGGCCCCTGGGACCTCACTTGTGACACGATAACTACGCTGGTTGCCACAGGGACATCCCTGGTGTCAAACAGAACCTCACTGGTGGCCACAGTGACATCACTGGTTGCCACGGGGACATCACTGGTATCAATCAGAACCTCGCTGGTGGCCACAGGGACCTAACTGGTGGCCACGGAAAAATCACTGGTGGCCACTGAGACCTCAATGGTGGTAAAAATGACCCATGAGTGGCCACAGGGACCTCACTGGTGGCCACAGGGACATTTTGGGGGCAACGGGAACCTTACTGGTGGCCACAGGGACCTCACAGGTGGTCATGGAAACCTTGCTGATGGCCATAGGGACCTCACTGGTCACTATGGGGACATCGCTGGATTCCCCTGGGACATGTCTGATTGCCACTGGGACCTCACTGGTGGCCACGGGGACCTCAGTGGGAGCATCACTGGTGGCCATAGGAACCTAAATTGTGGCCACGGGGACCTTGCTGGTGGCTTTGGAAAACTCACGTGTTGCAACCAGAACCTAATTTGTGGCCACAGCGACCTCAAAAGTGACTTTGGGGACCTCACTGGTCACAACTGGAACCTCACTGGTGGCTACAGTGACATCACTGGTTGCCACAGGGAGATTGCTGGTATCCGTGAGAACCTTGCTGGTGACCACAGGGACTTAAGTGGTGGCATGGGGACCTCAATGGTGGTCACAGAGACCTCTCTGTTGTCCACAGGGGCCTCACTGGTAGCCACGGGGACATCACTGTTGGCCACAGAGATTTCACTGATTGCTTCGGGGACCTCACTGGTAACGATGCGGAACACACTGGTGGCCACATAGACATCACTAGTGGCCACTGTAACCTCCCTGGTGGCCACAGAAACATCACTGGTGGCTACCAGAACCTAATTTGTGGCTACAGGGACCTCGCTGGTAGCTTTGGGGACCTCACTTGTTGCAATCAGAACCTCACTGGTAGGCATGGAGACATGACTGGTAGCCACGGGGACACTGCTGGACGTCATTGGTGGCCACGGGAACCTTAGTAGTGGCCATGGAAACATCACTGGTAGCTACGGAAATATCACTGGTGGCAAAGGAGAACTTGTGGCCTTGGAGATCTCACTGGTGGCCACGGGAACATCACTTTTGGCCACAGGGAGCCCACTGGTAATGATGTGGAACTCACTGGTGACCAAAGAAATATCACAGGTTTCCACAGGGACCTTGATGGTTGCAACCAGAACCTCGTTTGTGGCCACAGGGACCTCAATGGTGGCTTTGGGGACTTCAGCGGTCACAACCTAAATCTCGCTGGTGGCCACAATGACATCACTCATTGTCCACAGGAATATCACTGATATCCACAGGAACCATGTTCATGACCATGGGGACCATCACTGGTGGCCACTGGGACCTTGGTGGTCACTGGTGGAGCCCACAAGTGGCCACAAGGACCTTACTGGTGACCATGGAGATGTTGCTGGTAGCCATGGAAACATCACTGGTGGGCACGGGGATCTGGGGGTGGTCATTGGGACTCACGAGTGGCCACAGGGACCTCACTGGTGCCACAGGGAACTCACTGGTACGCACGGAGACATCAGTGGTGGCCACAAGGATATCACTGGTGGCAACCAAAACCTCATTTGTTGCTACCGGAAACTGAGAGGTGACCACAGAAACATCACTGGTGACCACGGGGACCTCAGTGGTGGACATTAGGACCCACGAGCTGCCACAGGGACCCCACTGGTGGCCACAGGGACCTCTGTGGTCGCCACTGAGACCGACAAGTGGCCACAGGGACCTCACTGGTGGCAATGGGGACATCACTGGTGGTTGCAGGGACCTCGCTGGTTGCCAGGGAAACCTTGCTGGTGTCCACATGGACCTCACTGGTCACCACCGGGACATCACTTGTGGCCACAGTGACATCACTGGTTGCCATGGGCTCATCACTGGTATCCACAGGAACCGTGCTGGTGGCCACGGGTAACTCACTGGTGGCCACGGTGACACTGCTGGTGGCAATGGGAACCTTACTTGTGGCCATGGGGACCTATGGGTGTCCGCAAGGATCTCACTGGTTGTAAGGGGGAATTCGCTTGTAGTTTTGGAGACATCACTGGTGGCCACGCAGAACTCTCTGTCTGGCATGGGGACCTTGCTGATGCCTTTGGGAACCTTGCTGGTGGCCACAGGAACCTTCAGGTGGCAACCAGGATGTTGTTGGTGGCCATTGGGACTTAAGAATGGCCACAGAGACCTCACTGGTGGCCATGGGGAACTCATTGTATGCCATGGAGACATCCCTCACTGGTGGCAATAAGGACTATGCTGGTTGCCACGGGGACATCCCTGGTGTCAAGTAGAACCTTACGGGTGGCCACAGGCATCTCTCTGGTAACCACGGGGACTTTGCTGGTTGCTACAGGGATGCACAGGTGGCCACAGGGACCTTGCTGCAGGCAACAGGGACCTCACTGGCAGCCACAGGGGATGTCCAGGTTGCCACAGGGACCTCGCTGGTTGCCAACGGGATCTCAATGGTGGCCACCTGGACCTTGCTGGTGGCCACGGAAACCCTTCTGGTGGCCACAGGGACCTCACTTGTGGCCACAAGGACATCGCTGGTTTCCCCTGGGACATGTCTGATTGCCACAGGGATCTCACTGGAGGCTATGGGGACACCACTGGTGGCCACCTGGCCTGACTGGTTTCCACTAGGACCTCACTGGCGGCCACGGGGATCTCTCTGTTGGCCCCAAAGACCTAGCTGGTGCCCATGTGAACCTTGCTGGTAGCTACGGTGACCTCAGTTGTGGCCACAGAGACCCACGGTTGGCCACATAGACCTCACTGGTGGCCAGGGGGAACCCATTTGTGGCCTCCGAGACATCACTGGTGGCCATGGTAACATAACTGGTGGTCATGGGGACCTCACTGGTGTCCACAGCAAACTCCCTAGTGACCACAAAGCTCACTGGTGGTCACAGTAACCTCATTAATGGCCACAGAAACCTCACTTGTGGCTACAGGGAACTCACTTGCGGCAAGAGGGACCCTCACTGGTTTCCATGAAGACATCACTGGTTGCCACGGGGACTTTGCTTGTGAACACAAAAACATCACTTGTGGCTTCTGGGACCTCAGTGGTGAGCACCAGAACCTTATATGTGGCCACGGGGACCTTGCTGGTGGGTTTGGGGACCTCACAGGTCACAACCTGAACCTCATTGGTGGCCACAGTGACACCACTGGTTGCCGCTGGGGTACCCGGGCCAGGACTACAGCTCCCAGCAGGCCTCTGAAGCCAACACCACCACAGGAGGCCCTGGGATGGAATACAGCTTTTGGCAGGCCTGGGAGCAAACATGGCTACCAGGTCCCCTGGGCCAGGACTACAGCTCCCAGCAGGATCTAGGAGCCAAGATGGCCACTTGGCAACCCAGGCCAGGACTACAGCTCCCATTAGGCCCTTGGGCCAGCAAGCCCTCCAGGGGCCCTGGGCCAGAACTACAGCTCCCAGCAGGTCCTGGCAGCAAACATGGCCACTGAGGGACCCGGGCCAGGACTATTGATCCCAGCAGGGCCCAGCAGCAAATATGGCTGCTGGGGGCACCTGTCAGGACTAGAGCTCTTAGCAGGCCCCGGGGGCCCACATGGCTGCTGGGGCCCTGGGCCTGGACTACATCTCCCAGAAAGCACTGAGAGCCCACATGGCCACCAGGGACCCAGGATGGGACTACAGGTCCCAGCAGGCCCTTGCAACCAACACGGCTGCTGAGGGCCCCGAGGTGAAACTACAGATCACAGTAGGACCTGGCAGCCACCATGGCCGTGAGGTCCCCAGGCTGGGACTACAGCTACCTACAGGCCCCAGGTGCCCACATGGCTGCTGGTGTCCCCAACCATCTGGCCTCCCAGGGCCTCCTAGGAGCCAGAGTCCCCACCCAAGACCCCTGGCTGTCAAGTGGCCTTTTGGGGCTCACCTGGAGCCAGGGATCCTGCCCGGGGCCCAGGATGGCCATCTAGCATCATGTAGCCTGCTGGGAGCCAGGCTCCACACCCAGTGCTGCCAGTGGCCATCTGGCCTCCTGGGGTCTGCTGGAAGCCAGGATTTCCACCTGTGACCCTCGGCACCCATCTGGCCTCCTGGGGCCTGCTGGAAGCTGGGGTCGCAGTCTGTGGCCCCTGGTGGCCCTCTGGCCTCCCGGGGCCTGCTGAGAGCTGGGGTTCCCACCCAATGTCACTGGCCATCTGGCCTTCCTCAGCCCAATGGCAGCCGCGGTGCCTGCCTGGAACCCCCAGCAGCCATCTTGCCTCCTGGCGCTTCTTGGGAGCCGGAGTCCCCGCCTGGGTTTCCTGGGTGACCATCTGCCCTCCTGGGGCCTGCTGGAAGCTGCAGTCTCAGTCCAGAACCCCTGGCAGCTGTCTAGCCTCCTGGAGCCCACTGGGAGCTGGGGTTCCCGCCCAGGGCCCAGGATGGTTACCTGGCATCCCGTAATTTGCTGGGAGCTGGGCTCCACACCCAATGCTACCACTCTCCATCTGGTTTCCTGGGGTCAACTAGAAGCTGGGATTTCTGCATGTGACCCCTGGCAACCATCTGGCATGCCTGGGCCTGCCAGCAGCTGGGGTCCCTGCCCGCAGTCCCCGGCAGCCATCTGGACTCCTGAGACTTGCTGGGATCCATGGTCCCTACCCAAGGCTCCAGTAGCCATGTGGCCTCTTTGGGTCCCCAAGGAGCTGGGGTCCCCACCTGGGGCATCCACCAGCCATCTGGCCTGCCTGTGTGCACCAGAAGCCGGGATCCCCATGTGGGGGACCTTGGAAGCTGTCTAGCCTCCTAGGGCCTGCCACTAGCCTAAATCCCTACCCAGGGCCTCCAGCGGCTATCTTGCCTCCTGGGAGCTAGAGTCCTCGCCCAAGGCTCTTGGCGGCCATCTGGCCTCCAGAAGCCTTTGGGACATTGGGGTCACCTGCCCAGGTTCCCTGGCGGCTATTTGGCCACCCAGGATCTGCCAGGAGCCAGGATATCTGGCTGGGGCCCAGAATAGCCATCTGGCGTCCCAAGGCCTGTTGGGAGCTGGGGTTCCTGCCCCGGGCCCAGAACAGCCAACTGGCCTCCTGTAGCCCATTGGGAGCTAAAGTCCCTTCTTGGGGCCTCTGGTGGCCATCTTTTCTCTCCTGGGCGTGAAAGCAGTCATAATCACGGCCTGAAGTCTCTGGCGGCCTTCTTGACTCCCAGGGTCTTTTAGGAGCTGTACTCCTACCACCACTCTCTAGAAAACCATCTTGGATCTGGAGGTCTGCTGGGACTGGTAGTCCTGGCCCAGGACCCTGAGGCACTATGTTTGCATCCCAGGCCTGCTGGGACCTGTAGTCCCAGCCCAAAGCCCCAGCTGCCATTTTGGTTCCCAGGGCTTTCTGGGAGTGGTAGTTCCCACCCTGGGGTGCGGGGTGGCCATCTTGGGCTCCTGGGCCTGCTGGGAGCAGCAGTCCTGGCCAGGAGCAGAGAGCAGCGATCTGGCCTCCCAAAGCTTCTTGGGAGCCAGGCTCCTTGCCCTGGGACCCTAGCGGCCATTTGGCCTCCCATGGTCTCCCAGGAGCAGGATTCCCCTCCTTGGGCACCTGGCGGCCATCCTGCCTCCCAGGGCACGCTGGGAGCCAGATTCCCTGCCAGGGATCCCCAGGGGCCATCTGGCCTCCCAAAGCATCCCGGGAGCCGGGGTCCCTGTCCAGGGTCCTGCAGCAGCTGTCTAGCTTCCTGGGGCCTGCCAAGAACCAGCATCCCTGTCAAGGGTCCCTGGCTGCCCTCTTTCCTCCCAGGGCCTCTGCAGAGCTGGCAGCCATCCGTCTTCCAAAAGCCTCTCTGGAGCTGGGCTTCCTGTCCAGGACCCTTGGCAGCCATCGGGCCTCCCTAGGCCCATTGGGAGCCAGGGTCCCTGCCTGGGGCCACTGGCAGCAGCCATTTGGCCTCTTGCGGCCTCCTGGGAGCCAGAGTCTTCACCTGGGGCCTTTGGTGGCCACCTGGCCTCCAGGATCCCACCATAAGCCAGAATCCCCATCTGGGGCCCAAGACAGACATCTAGCCTCCCAGGGCCCACCAGGAGCCGAGGTGCACGCTCAAGGCCCCCAGCAGCTATCTGGCCTCCTGGGGCCTGCCAGGAGCCGTACTCCTTGCCTGGAGCCCCCAGAAGTCATCCTCCCTCATGGGGCTTCTGGGAGCTGAGGTCCCCGCCTGAGGCCCCCAGTGGCCATCTGGCCCGTAGAAGACTTCCAAGAATTGAAGTCCTCATTGGGGCCCCTGGCAGCCATCTGGCCTCCCAGGGACCAACAAGAGCCCAGGTCCCCTGCCTGTGGCCCTTGGTGGCAATCTAGCCTCCTAAAGCGTCCCGGGACCCAGGGTCTACTCCTGGGGCCTTTGATGGCCATCTTGCCTCCTGAGGCCAGCCTGGAGAAGAGACCGGGGACTCCAGGGGCCCGGGGCCTCCAGTGGCCATCTGGCCTGCCAGGGCCCACCAGGAGACAGAGTCCCTGCCCAGGGCCCCTGGCAGCCATCTTGCCTCCTGGGACCTCCCAAGAGTTGCAGTCCCCACTGTGGCCCTTGGCGACCCTCTGGCCTCCCAAAGTGTCCAGGGATCTGGGATCCCCGCCTGGGACCCTGCAGCAGCCATCTCGCCTTTCACCAGGAGCTAAGGTTCCTGCCCAAGGCCCCTGTGGGTAAGTAACAGAAAACTGGCGAGGAGGATTGTAAATATGCTCAAGTGACTCGCACCTCGGGTGCTGGAAAACACATCTATCATGCTAATTGCTGTTTGGTCTCGAGTCTGTGAGCAGAACATTTGCACTGAGATAACTTACGCCTGTGATGGACTCAGGGACACCTTATCTTGCCGCTTGAGGTTCCTGCCCTGTTGTTGGAGATCAAAGCACAAGGGGGAGGACTATGCCTGCTGGAACTCTTGAAAAACCAGCTAAGCCCCCTTTTGCTCCTGCTGCTGCTTACTCTGGCTAATAAGGACTCCAACTGACAAGGACTCTTGCTGG